GAATATCATTTATTTTTCTTTTCCTATTTCTTTGTCACCAGAAATATACTGAATTTAACATACTACCTACCTGACCACATTACTTCCTTTCTTGATATATCAATGATTTCCTATTATATATTTAAAAAATAGTAATGTAAGAAATGAAATAACCTCTTTTGACTTTCTGTCCACATGAAGCTATAAAACATGCTGGCTATTCTGTAATCTCTGTCACTGATTGAATGTTGATTTTAAAACTTAGAAGTGACATAGTGACTTTTAAATCATATCTACTTGACTATTTAGGTATAACACGTTTCTAGTCTCATTCTTTGACTATATTTTGTTGGCATTCCAACAATTCCCATGGAAAATGTTTTGCAGTTTTGTTAGCCTTCCAATTCCCAAAGTACATTCTCCATTGCTTCACAGATTGGTTGTATATTTCAAAGTGTAAGAGATTCCTCTGTGAGAAGAGGTATTTAAGAATGAAGTCAGGAAAAAACAGTTATTGTTCCTTCTATTAGAGGGAGGTGATATCTGCTGTGTGAGAGGAGCATTCGATTACTAGAGAGGTAAATGTTTTTTGCCATTCTTCATATTTATAAGGAACATAAATCTGGAAGAAATGGAAACAGATATTGCAACATCTCAGGTGGGTCATCTGCTGCCTTGAAATGCAAAGATCAGAATTATAACAGAAATAGATTAATATGTTAAATCTGAATTCAATAATACAGTAGCACCTTTTATCTGTTCTTAATAATATAGCTCCAGTTTCTCCTAATATTTAGAATTCATTTATTGGGAATATATAAAGCCTTTATTAACATTGACTTGGGAATGTTTATACTTGATCCGAAGCCTATATCTATTAACTGAAAGATGTGAAGAAACAGAAATCATAACCAATGCAGAAATGCTAGGATGCAAAGAAAATCTTTACCAACTTCATGATTTTGCAGGAGACTAGCTCTGACTATTTGCACACCTGCTGGGATGAGAGGTTCTTTTGCAAATAGTCTCTCCATATACCAATAGGGCTTTGACAGCTGGCTGAAGTGAAACCTCCATAAATTCTTTTCTTGTAATCTCTTACATTTACACAGCTACCTTTACCCCAGAAACTCATTTCAAAGGCAGGAACAGAGGATCTATATTATGTACTTACTTCTTAGAAACTAACGTTCCTCTTAATATCTATGTTTTTCCTGATTTGATTTTGGTTTAGTCAGATTTCAATATGCTACTTAGTGTATCATTTTCATCTTATTATATTTGCAAATCAACACAGTGAGACAAAATAACTCAGGCTAATGAAGACGAGTGACCTTCCCAAGATCTCAGGGTTAAAAAAATTCCAGGATGAAGAACTTAAATTCAGATAGAGAGATGCTTAAACAAGGGCTTTTTCTATGACGTCCATTATGAAACTGTGGCGTTATAAACATTGGTACCTGTTAATGATTTGATGACACTCTTTAACTTTATCCACTTTTCTCAGAACACAAAACTAGATATTATATACATTATGGGTTACAAACTAGATAGTACGTATTAATAGACATCATATTCTTATTCTTATTTTGGGGATGTTTATAAAATATATTTTTGCTGGTATGGTAGATTAATGAGAAATTTCTTTCAAGCACAAAGGTAAATATTGCCACTTTTATTAAGATTAGTTACAAACAGACAACATATTTGAGGTAGTGGGAAATAATTTAAAAGTATTCACACAGTATATTTTAAAGAGGATACTATTTAAGGAAAGTAATTTAGTACTGAAAGATGAGTTAGTTATTTTTGACCCTTAAAACAATTGGAGTGAAGAAACTTCATGTGCTGTCCTTACCATTGTTTCAAAAGAAAACAATAGTGATGCTTCTCAGAATTAATGGTAAGGCAAGCATGAGATCTAATAAAGGAGAAATGAGAAGACAAGAAAAGTGAGTGGAAAAAATATTGGAAACTGCAAGAACGTTGAAAAATAAAAGCAACAAAGGAGAAAAATAAAAGAGATAAGAGAAAAGAAAGGGGAATCATTAGAGAACAAATATGAGAGAGAAAAAGAGAAAATACAATAGAGAAAAAGCAACTCAAGTGTAAAAGTATAACTTAAAACATAAAGTATAGAAATATTTAGTGAGACAGGAATGGAAAATAATAAAATAAATATCTTAAAAGGAAGCATGAGGAAATATAAAGAAAAATGAGTGAATTAGTGCCTGTGGATGGGAATCAAGCCTCCAAGCACCTGCTTCATGAACTTTCTAACAAGAGCCTGGACTCTAAGCATGAACAGTACAAAGAGCAGCAGTTAGCTGGAACATGTGTGCGCCCCCACCCATCACGCTTTCCTCCTCTGTGCTGCTCCAGCATTTTCAGAGCCAGATAAAATTTTGTTTCTGTTGAAACTGAAATCTTGGGTAGAGGGAGTGGCAGGCATTCAGATTTCTATTTTGGCTTCCACAGACAGTGGTCCTTCTAATACAGTTAGGTCCTTCTAATATAGTTAGACAAGACCAAACTTGTCTTTGCAGGAATTTCTGTGTTTTTGTTTTGCTGAGAGTTACTTCATTCTACCTAGAGGAATGTCTGTCTTGTGAATATGTATGTATTTGGTCTCTGGATCTATAACGAGCATGATGTGAGCACTATCAGTACAACAAAAGAGCTTAGAGGGAAGTATACAAAGGGAACACAGTGGATCAGAGATATCTGATGGTAGTGAGTTCCAGATGTGACAGAGTCAATAGGAGAACAGAAGTGGGTGCTAGGAATGAAATGCAAGGTATAGTACAACAACTTAAAACTCCCAATCTCAGAGGTACTTAAAAGTTTCTCCTATGACCCAAATACATCCTCAGTTTTTAAAAGAGTGTGAAATAACCAACTACATTATAATGTGCAAGATGCATACAACTTAAGAGTAAGCAGAGAGGGATTCCTGACTTTTCTATTAGCAGGCTTTACATGCACAGAAAGAATGATAAATATTAAGGTCAATAAATGGCCAAGTGCCAAAAAATATATATATATATATAAGAAAAGAGGAAGGATACCATATGCAAATTTTTATGCTTCTGCTTTGGTTAGGACATGTGTTTTTGTGTGTGTGTTTGTGTGTCTTCATGTGTATCTGTATTATGTACATACATGTGTGATTTTTTTGCTTTTTTTTTTTTTTTTGAGACAGAGTCATGCTCTATTGCCTAGGCTGGAATGCAGTGGTGTGATCTGGGCTCACTGCAACCTCCCTCTCCCAGGTTCCAGCAACTCTCATGCTTCAGCCTCTGTAGTGGCTCGCACCTACAGGCTCCTGCCACCACACCCAGCTAAATTTTGTATTTTTTAGTAGAAACAGGATTTCGCAGAGCTGATCTTGAACTCTTGACCTCAAGTGATCCACCTGCCTTGGCCTCTCAAAATGGTGGGATAACAGGTGTGAGCCACAGTGCCCGGCCTAGGTCCTGCTGTCATAATTCCCAATGTTGACCATATCTGAAAATCTCTGCTGTTATTCAATCTATTAGTATTAGATATATTTAAAAAAACATATCGTTTGATGTTTCAATAGATGCATCATTATAAATATTTTCTTTGATTTCTTTTTTTTTTTTTTTTTTTTTTGAGACGGAGTTTCGCTCTTGTTACCCAGGCTGGAGTGCAATGGCGCGATCTCGGCTCACCGCAACCTCCGCCTCCTGGGTTCAGGCAATTCTCCTGCCTCAGCCTCCTGAGTAGCTGGGATTACAGGCACGCGCCACCACACCCAGCTAGTTTTTTTTTTTTTTTTGTATTTTTAGTAGAGACGGGGTTTCACCATGTTGACCAGGATGGTCTTGATCTCTTGACCTCGTGATCCACCCGCCTCGGCCTCCCAAAGTGCTGGGATTACAGGCTTGAGCCATCGCGCCCGGCCTCTTTGATTTCTTAATTTGGAACTTTGTTTTTTCCTTTCCCTCTCACATGCTGTCTCCTCATTCAGTTAGTTAATGAACTTCTGTTTCCCTCTAGTCTACATTTCATATTCCACCTTATTTAAAAACAAATGTACCGTGTAACAGAAGCATATGAAATATTTTTCTGTATCCAATTGTAGTGTTTTGTTATAACTCAAGATCTTTAGCTTTAAATTTTTTTTATTTCAACCACAAACCATTTTTTGAGCTGTATTTCATATTCATTTATATCATGATTCTATATAAACTGTAAAATGTTCAAAAATAAAATTTAAACAATAGGATATGATAATATATGTGTAGAAATTCTCCTATTATTGCTTTTATACCAATAAATTGTCATGCACATCCCCAGGAATGAGCACAGTCTCAATTCGAACCCGCTGTACACAGAAGCATCAGGTCTTGTTTTCTCCAGCATTACTGAGAGTCTTTTTATTTAGACCAGTTTGTTTGGTTGATGTTCTATAGAGAAAAGGGAATTATTTCTCGTAAGTGTAGTTGCTTTTATCAAAGTTTTTAGATAAAAATTCCTAAGGTATCATTTATATAAAATAATTTGTACTAATTGCTGTACAGTTCAATAGTTCAATAAGTTTTGACAAAAATAGATACATATAACCATTATAATTAAAAATGGAACGTTTCTGTTCCCTTGAAAAGCTCTGTCATTCTTTGCTGTCAATCTCAGCTCATCCTCCATTCAAAGCAAAACATGAAGACCTTGATAACTGGGGTTAAGTTTTCTTTCAGTCAGAAAATTTTTCCTATGCCTCATACAAATCAGGAACATTCAGAACAGTAGCATTCAAGTCTCACATGAGTGAGAAGAAGCAAACAGAAGCACAGGACTGAAACAGAAGGAAGAGCATGGCTTCAGGACCAGAGTGTTGGCCATCATGAAATGAGGAAGCATAAAGGGTAGAAATGATTTCTTCTTTGAAATTGTTGTTGAGATAGACTAATATAAATGTGGCATATCTTGTGTTTAGTTCAAGAACTATAATCTAGATGTAACACATGAAAATAAACTCTTTGATTGATATTCTATAGGCAGAGGAAATGAAGATAGAAAACAACACAGTAGTGACAGAATTTATCCTCCTGGGTCTGACTCAGTCTCAAGATATTCAGCTCTTGGTCTTTGTGCTGATCTTAATTTTCTATCTTATCATCCTTCCTGGTAATTTCCTCATCATTTTCACTGTACAGTCAGACCCTGGGCTCACAGCCCCACTCTACTTCTTTCTGGGCAACTTGGCCTTCCTGGATGCTTCCTACTCCTTCATTGTGGCTCCCAGGATGCTGGTGGACTTCCTCTCTGAGAAGAAGGTCATCTCCTACAGAGGCTGCATCACTCAGCTCTTTTTCTTGCACTTGCTTGGAGGAGGGGAGGGACTGCTCCTTGTTGTGATGGCCTTTGACCGCTACATCGCCATCTGCCGGCCTTTGCACTATTCAACTGTCATGAACCCTAGAGCCTGTTATGCAATGTTATTGGCTCTGTGGCTTGGGGGTTTTGTCCACTCCATTATCCAGGTGGTCCTCATCCTCCGCTTGCCTTTTTGTGGCCCAAACCAGCTGGACAACTTCTTCTGTGATGTCCCACAGGTCATCAAGCTGGCCTGCACCGACACATTTGTGGTGGAGCTTCTGATGGTCTTCAACAGTGGCCTGATGACACTCCTGTGCTTCCTGGGGCTTCTGGCCTCCTATGCAGTCATCCTCTGCTATGTTCGTAGGTCAGCTTCTGCAGGGAAGAACAAGGCCATATCCACGTGTACCACTCATGTCATTATTATACTTCTTATGTTTGGACCTGCTATCTTCATCTACACTCGCCCCTTCAGGGCCTTACCAGCTGACAAGGTGGTTTCTTTCTTTCATACAGTGATCTTTCCATTGATGAATCCTATGATTTATACCCTTCGCAATCAGGAAGTGAAAACTTCCATGAAGAGGTTACTGAGTAGACATATAGTTTGTCAGATGGACTCTATAATGAGAAACTGAGAAGGAGGAATTCTGGCTGGAATTCATTCACTCATTTAACAAATCCTGTTTTTCGTTGAGTACCTCCCATTTGTCTTGTAGGCAATGTGGGAGAGTATGTGTAATGAGAGAATAAACTTATTATATTTAAATAATATAAAGAAACCCCAGAATGGTTGAAATATAATGAATAAGTGTGAAAAATTTAGGGGTTAAGTTTTATGTGACTGCAAGGGTCTTTTAGTCTAAGAATTTTTTTGTATTTTAATTGTGGTAAGAATCCACTTTAACGTTTTAAGCAAAGGTGTAATTCATCTACAATGCTTTCCTCTATGGGTTAGAGCAACACCAGCAAGATTTTAGGCCGATATTAATAAGCTGTAAAACATAAACCACATGTACGTTGCAGGTATGTTGTGAAAAAGACTATATATATAGTCTTTCGTATATATAAAATATATTTTAAAAATATATTTTAAAAGATATTTATAAATATGCATATTTATAAATATACATTTCATATTATATAAATATATATTACATATATAAATATATATTGCATGTTTTATATATTTATAAATTTATATTTATATTTAATCAATATATAAATAAATATATATTTTCCCTCCAAATTTGGTAGCGAGCGATAAGAAAGCCAATTTGTTTCATGGAAAATGTCATAAAATTATTTCACTTGTTTTTTCTTTAGAGATTCATGATGATTATTAGACATTATTAAATATTTAGTACTACAGATTATATCGTAATTACATAAATCATTCCAGTTATTTTCAACATAGTGAAGCAGCTTCGTTGTCTGGGGCGATACCTGTGGTTTGTTGTCTCGTGCTGTGCAGATTAACAACATGAATTACACACATGGAGTGGAAAGTTTGATAGGCAAGAAAGAAGAGAACAGCTCCGCTATACAGAGGGAGGAGGGCTCTGAATGGAATAACCCCACTTGTGGGGAAAGCAGTCAGTTATATTGGGAGGCTCAAGGAGGTGGTGTCTGCTTTGCACAGGGCCCAGGGGATTTATTTGACTAGGTGTGTTATTCACATAACCCATGAAAAGCCTGGCCCTCCCACCCTAATCTTTTATTATGCAAGTGTGGCTTCTACCAGGCTGTAGGAAAGGGAGCAGGGAGCCGGAACTGTCATATTGAGTGGATCTGACTCTTAGTTACCTGCATTTACATCTGCAAGCCTCTAATTTACGTATCTATGTTTGCAGCTTGGCTTTTCAAGCTGCTTTCTGTTAGAAAAAAATGGTTTAGGGGCTGCTTTTTTATTTTTTAAAAACAGCCTTTTTGAGGACTCTTTTGCCCTTTCTAGTTGTCTAAAAATAAATTCTTAATCACTTCTCTATTAATAGTGGAGTTGAATGTGAGAAGTTAGGTACTTATAAAATTGTTTCAAGTATAGAAGACCATTATTTATGCTGTGCATCTATTATAGAAATCGTTGCCAGAAAAGCACTGCAGAACCTGCTAAGTGACCTATCCTTGCAATAACCAGGAGACGGAGAGGGCAAGAAGCCGCTTTCCCAGGTCTTGGCTCAAGGAATCATCAATCAGCTGTGGTCTGGCATAAAGAGAATTGTGGAGAGTGCCTCTCATGTTATTCGCACTCTCTCATTATTTTTTCCAAATTAGATTTTGTATGAGTATATTATATGTAAAAATGAAAAATTTATATGGGCAAAAGGCAGAAAGATGTTGAAAATATGTCTATCATAGATGTGGAGATTATTTTCTGCACGATTATAAGGTTTACATGTAAATTGAGTATTTTCTCCCTACTCAAAGATTATATGAGAGCATCCATGCATAAAAAATTAAAAAGTATTAAAGAAATGGATATAAATGATAAAATATTTATCTAATACATAAATAATTTGCTTAAATGAATATGAAATAGGTAGATAGAAGGAAATGTGGGCAATGAAAAAAGGAAAAAATGAAAAGGCTTATAAACATGAAAATAACTTTATCCTTAAAAATCAACCATAGAAATAAAAACCACTGATTTTGATTAGCATGTAGAAAAATGTTGCTCATGTATTATCATCCAAAAAGTACGGAATAGAGAGAGATGCCAGAAGCAGCTCTCATGTACCACTCATGGAGAGGGAGACACGTGGTGAGTAAACACTAGCTCTCCTAGTGGATTGTCCATGAGGCCGTGTTAGGAGACATCAAGGAAGCAACTGCAATCCATGGACAGCAGAAAGGAGCCATGCAGGAAAGCAGTCCACCCAGGATTGGCATAGAGCCAGGAGAGGCTCCCTAACATAGGAAAAGGATGAGTGAGAACCTCCTGGGACCCACACCTGTGCCATGGGCCTTTGCAGTCCTAGCACAGGAGATCTCCCGTGAGCCCGGAGAGCTTCCAGACCAACACAGAGAGATGACTGGAGTCTGGGCAGAGCTGCAGCTAGGCCCACCTGGAGCTCCCTGGGCCTTGGGGCCCTGAGCACCTTGGTGCCAGCTGCTATAGTCCCACCAGCAAGAGAGGCCAGCTGTCTCGCCTGCCCCTAGAATAGGGGCTGTATCCACGGTGCTGAGGAGCAGACTGACTGCAGGCCCTGCTTGCTTCACCGCTCCAGGCAAAGCCCACTGACCTGGGTTCCCCACGCAGTCACCCTGCTCCCACCTGAACCCCCAGGCCAGTCAGAGTTCTCTATTTCTTCGGGAAGGAACTCCCAGCTGTCAACAACAGGCCTGAGATTTCTGGTGCTGCGGTCTACGGCATGCTGCCCTGTGGCTGGGGAGGGATCCAAGAGCACAGGAGCTGTCCTAGACCTTCAGCACGCTGGCTGTCATAAGCACAGCTGTCACAGGGAAAAGCGGCCACGCTGTTTCCACGTGGGTCCCTGTCCCAGCTACTCCTCACTGGGCAGGGCCTCCCAGCCTGGGGTCCCAGCACAACTGCCCCACCCATACCTGAGCTTTCATTCTGTGGCGGCCCCGAGTTTCTCGGGGGTAGAGCTCCCAGAGACAACCGACGGGCTCTCTGCCGTCAGTCGTGACCTCAGTGTCGAGCTCTTGCTCCCCCCAGGCTGAGTAGGGAACACAGCACCTGGCCGCAGCTGCCCTAGGGAGAAAAGGCCAGGTTGTCTTCCCTGCAAACCTCTGACCCCTGCTGCTCTTCACCAGACAGGACCCAGATGCGAGCATTTGTTTCACATCTGCCCTCGCCACCGCCAAGATACTGCCCATTACTGCCTTCCCAAGCCAGGGAGGGAATACAAAGCCCGAGCTCGCCCCAGGTCCAACACTGGAGCGGGAAGAGAAACGCACTCTCCGAGCACTGAGAAGCATAACCACGTGGGTTCCCCGGCTGCTGTGGAGCAGGGCACACCCGCCTTCGCAGGACGAGCCTGGAAAAGTTGTGGCCCATCTCCCTGCCATGGTCGCAGCCTGGAACACCCAGCGAAACAAATGAGGGTGCGGTGCTGGTGATCGGAGGGGGTTCCCCCGAAGCTCAGGAGCGGACCTGCTGAAGGGGTCACTTCTCTCCCCGTGATGCCGCAGACCAGGGCTGTAGATGTGACGAAGTACAAATGAACCACAGGCCTGAGCAAGAGCTTCTCTACCGTCCATTACTCAGGTGGCATCTACTGGAGGCAGCCAAAACTGCTACAGCACCAAAAATACTTTGCTACTATCGTCCAGTGAAATCAAAGGAAAGAATCCAGCCACAAATAAAAGACACGGCACAAAGCCTTGGCTATCTGAAAACATCCACAAAGCCAAAAGACCATACTCAAATTACACCACAGGTAAAGAAACCGATGCTTCCAGATGAGAAAGAATCAGTGCAGGAACGCTGGCAATTCAAAAAGCCAGTGTCCCCTTATCTCCAAATGAGTCCGCTAGACCCCAAACAATGATTTTTTTTTCTGCTTTCCTTATTTATTTGTTTTAGGATAACTTTTAATTTTAATTATTTAACTTTTAGGTTCAGGGATACACGTGCAGGTTTGTCATATAGGTAAATTGCTTGTCATGGGTGTTTGGTGAACAGATCTATCACCTAGGTAATAAGCATGGTACCTGATATAAAGTTTTCTGATCCTCACCCTTTCTCCACCATTCAGTCTCAACTAGGCCCAGGTATTTCCCGTTCCTTTCTTTGTGTCCATGTATATTCGGTGTTTATCTCCAATTTAAAAGTAAGAACATACAGTATTTGGTTTTTTGCTCCTATGTTAGTTCACTTAGAAAAAGGGCCTCCAGGTTCCTGCATGTTGCTGCAAAGGATATGATCTCATTCTTTTTTATGACTACCCCGTCCTTCAATAGATAGGCAAGCGGCTTTAGAAGGGGAGCATTTAGCCTGCCTGGTAGTGCAAGATTGACAAGGCAATCAGGTACATAAAAAGATAAGGAAAAGCATTAGAAGGTAGAATCCCCTAAGCTAGACCACTTAGCTCTCTGGCTTCAGCCCCCTTTCCAGGGAAGTGAAGGGTTCTGTCTTGCTGGCCTTCCAGGCACAACTGGGGTATGAAAAACAAAACAAAACAAAACAAAAAAAACCTCCTGCAGCTAGCTCGATGTCTGCCCAAATGGCTGCCCAGTTTTATCCTTGAAACCCAGGGCTCTGGTGGTGTAGGCACCTGAGAAAATCTCCTAGTCTGCGGGTTGTGAAGACGGTCAGAAAGTGCAGTATCTGGGCCGGAATGTACCATTTCTCAAGCACAGTCCCTCAGGGCTTGCCTTGGCTAGGGGAGGGAGTTCCCCAACTCTTTGTGCTTCCTGGGGAAGTGACACCCCACCCTGCTTCTGCTTGCCCTTCCTGTTGAATCCATTGTCTAAGCAGTCACAATGAGATGAGCTGGGTACCTCATTTGGAAATGCAGAAATCACCTGCCACCTGTATTGGTCACTGGGAGTTGCAGACCAAAGCTATTCCTATACCATCATCTTGCCAGCCACCCTCTAAAGTTTGGTGAAGCCTTTAACTGAAAAATTTAGTGTGTGTATATGTATATAATATAACTAGACTCAAATATATGTATTTTGCCTCATCCTAGCCCTGTTGCTTTTTTGGTACAAAGTAATAATCTCTCATATTTTAATTTATTTTTCTCCTTTTGCATTTTTTATAACGTGAATCAACTTATCTCTAACTTCTGTTTACTTCTGGACTAATATGTTTCTGAATAGGGTTCTGTTTTATTAACAATAGGGTTTTTGTTTTGGAACTAGAAAGTAACTCAGCTTGGCATTATGTGGCACATTTAAAAAAATTTAGTTGTTGCAAAGCTCTGGTATTTTTCTTTCCTTCATTTAGTTGATAACTAATATAGTTTACCTAATAACTCCCTTTGGAAGTGGGTCGTGGTAGTCTCAAATCCCAAAAGCGCTTTCTCCTTTGCAAT